CAATTGAGGTGCACTCTGGTATTTTCTACCACATTCCAATTCATCAAAAAATGTAGGTCATGATCTTATGATCTTATTTATTTATTTATTTATTTCTGATGCAGTTACCCTGATGCTGTCAGTGACTCTTGGAAAAATTAGTGTGTTGAAATGTAGTGCCAAATACCTACAATGCTGGAAATTCAGACCAACTGTGGTGTGAAGTGCTCGCAGGTGTCCAAAAGGTCCAGGAGTTCCCTTTCTACTTCACCCTACAAACTTGAGAATTTACTGCAACAAAAGACATTTTCTTGCTAGAGGAGGAATGTTAATTTGAATGTTAGGACAAATATAATCTTATTCTCCACTCCTCCCTGCAAACAGCTCATATCTTGAACCATTTATTTAACTCTCTGAGTCTCGATATTCTAACCTATAAAATGAGATAGTAATCGCTCCAGTCTGACCTGGTGGTAGAGGAGATTAAACTTTGTCAGTTGAAAAGTCCTACATGGCAATATCAGAAGACTTCCTTAAATGGCTTGCCAGAACTTTACTACTGCTTCACGGCAGAACTGGAAATTAGAACAAGCCCCATGGTCTTTCCATCACAGGCAGCTGTGTCCCTCCCAGAGGGAATGCCACCTCAGAGCAGAACAATGCGGGGCGGGGCTTAGGGTAAAGTCGGGCAAAGTGCAGGCGACTGAAAAGGGGAAGTGGTAGGCATGTGGGGAGGGCCTTGTGGCCTGCAGAATAAGGAAATAGTTCTTACCAGCAGGGTGTAGGCAGTTGGGCTGAGGGTGTAGGGGACTCCGTTGATGGTGAAGGTGACATCCGGCATGACATTAAGGTTGGCACACTCCACAGCATACTAAAACCCAATACGGAGGATCTGTTTAGAGTCTTCCCACCTCCCAAGAGAAGGCCTGGCTCTCCTGCCCCCACCATTCCCTTCCCCAGGCAGGCACTCACTTCTCCATCCACGGGGGCTGCCCCGATGGCATTTTGCAGCTGCTTAATCTTGTCGGAAGGGCCAGTGATGAGGGAAGTCCCTGTGTCCACAATGGCCTGGCAGCCCTCGGAGCAGAACATCACAGTGCCTCCCACCTGAATGCTGAGGCGACAGAGTTGCAGTCAGCCCACCTTCCCTCCCCTGGCTCCTAGGAAACTCCCACTCTTTTGTGGGCTCTCCAGCACCTGGAGCACATTAATGATTTCCCCCCACCATATGAGTGTTCCTCAGTTGTTTTCTACTGAGATCCATAGGAAGAAATCTGTTTACTTCTCGACCCAGTGCACACACACACCCATTCATGCAATTGAGGTGCACTCTGGTATTTTCTACCACATTCCAATTCATCAAAAAATGTAGGTCATGATCTTATGATCTTATTTATTTATTTATTTATTTATTTGAGATGGAGTCTCACTCTGTCGCCTAGGCTGGAGTGCAGTGGCTCGACCTCAGCTCACTGCAACCTTTGCCTCCCAGGTTCAAGCGATTCTCCTACCTCAGCTTCCCGAGTAACTGGGACTATAGGCGTGTGGCACCATGCCTGGCTAATTTTTGTAGTTTTAATAGAGACAGTGTTTCACCATGTTGGCAAGGATGGTCTGAGTCTCTCGACCTTCTGATCCACCTGCCTCGGCCTCCCAAAGTCCTGGGATTACAGGTGTGAGCCACCACGCCTGGTCAGGATCTTCTAAAATGATGTCATGACCCATAAATAGGTGAATTCCTACAGTGTGAAAAACCCTCAATAGACAGTGAGCATTGAGACCTTTTATTTTTTGCATTCCTAATGCCTGATACCTTGCAGGAACTCAATCCTAGCTAAATTGAAACTTGAACTGCACTTTTCCAATTCCTGCATTGTCTAGCACAGCGCTAGGTATGAGGCAGGCATGTAGTCCCACTTCCCCAATTGCTTCATGCCCAGATACTGTATATATTTCCCAGCTCAGTTTCAATGTAATCCCCTCCATGACGCACAGGAGAGTTCTTCAGATAGAAGCTGTCGTGCCTGTCTGCTGGACCACGTTGATGGCACCTCTCTTGGAGCACTGACCACCTTCCATCTTATAGGATAGCGGTTTGGGTGCCTCTCATCTTCTGTACAAGTTTTTTGAGGGCAAGATCTGAATCCAATTCACCTGTGCAAACCCCCATGTTACTCATCCCTCGCCTTGTGTGTCAGTGTTGAAAGAACAAAGGGGAGCAGGCTGTACGCTAGTGTTGACTGTCTGTTGAATTAAAGGCACGCCACATGTACAAGGAAGGAAGCTTTGTCTGCTGCCCTGGTTACAGAGGTCCCTTCCTGCACACTTGCTCAGCACCTCCATACCTTCAACCACAGTAAGCTTCTGGCATCCTCTGCTAGCGACCAGTGGTTTTTCAGTTAATTCCGTTTGAGTTGTGCCTCTTTTGAGTCTACCCCTAGTACTGTAACTACTTCATGGGGAATACTCACTTATCCAGCGCAATCTGCCAGTAGCCTTGCTTGGTGACTGGGACCCAATTCAGGCTCCCAGAGAAATGGGAGTGGTCGTAGCCTCCGAAAATCAGCTCACTCCCCGCACCACCTTCTGGGTTACTACATGGAGAGAAATACAAACTGTCCAGGAAGGGCCACTGCAAAACTCTAGGGGTGAGTCTCAGCTAAGACACTTTGCTTCTTGGTCTCATACCAAGCAGCCAGGTAGGCAGAAACATCAGCCTAGGCTTTGAGACCAGGACTCTGACTACTGCAAGTGGATTGGTCTGGGCCTTTTTGACACAAGATTAGAAACAGCTCCCCTTGACCATTTGTGAATGTCCTTCTGCTTCTTGGATAAAAAGGTTAAGGAGTTGGGAAATGGGGCCAGCAGGTCTGTCATTCAGAACCAAGGCCAGGACCATCCTGGGTGGGTACACATTGTGTGACTTGAAGCAACCCCCAAAGACACCTTTTCCCAAGGTATCTTCCCCACTATGGTTGTGACAGCACCTGGTGTTTTTGTGTTCTCCACTCATTATGTTAAGGCAAAGAGGCCGATTTGAATGTATCATGACTTACTAGAGCTTGAACACTTATTTCCATTGGTATTGATATCTCAGATTATGTTCTGGAACCTAGCAAGATTCTGGAGAAATCGGACCTAAGACAGATTCATTTTGAGGAGGAAAAGGATCAGAAAGATACAAAACTGAAATCAGGGTAGTAAAGAGGAGAGAAGGGAATACCTGTAGGAATTTTAGGACAGTGGTTTTAGAGAGGGAGTGGGGAAAGGAACTCACATTTGTTGATTACCTTGGTGCAAGGCCCTGTACTGGGGATTTTGTCTATCTAAACTTATTTAACTCACATCAACCTAGTGGTCCGTGGGAGAAACTGAGCCTCAGTGAGATGAAGCAATGTAAGTGGCAGGATTCAAATTCAGGTCGGTCTGACTGCCAAGCCTCGATATTCCCCATTACAGCCCACTTTTCCCAGGCGACGAGAAAAGGAAGTTCTGCAAGGGGAAGCAGAAGTGTCTAGACAACCTGCCTCTCTCACTCACAGCTCTGCCTAGGCCTGGTACTGAGTGCCGTCATGCTGGAGAGGAAGCACAGCTTGATAGGGAAAATCCAGGACCCTCCATGTGGGAGAGGGGAATGAGAGGAATGGGCTTATGCTGAAACAGAGTGAATGCAGGCCAGGTCTGACCTGGAAGCAGTCAGGAAGGTCAGAAATCACCTTCCTGTGTAAGGAGGAAGAGGAAATGACCCTCCAAGGATGCCAGGCAAGAGTGCCTAGAAACAACAAACATTGTTGTTGTTTTCCAACAACAATGCAATTTTTAAAAATTGTTGTAAAAATATGTAACATGAAATGTACTATCTTACCCATTTTTGAGTCTACAATTCAGTAGTGTTAAGTATGTGCACACTGTGTAAAATCCAGACCTTTCATTTTACAGAACTGGAATTTTATACCCATTAGGCCATCAACAATTGTTTAAGAACTCCTCACTTCCCCTCCCCAGGCTCTGGCAACTGGCAGTCCACTTTCTGCCTGCGAATTTGACTACTCTAGGTACCTCACCTAAGTGGAATCATACAGTATTTGTCTTTTTATGACTAGCTTATTTCACTTCGCATTATGTCCTCAAGTTTCTTCTGTATTGTAGCATATCTCAGAATTTTCTTCCTTTCTAAGACTGAATAATATCTGATTGTTTGGATATGCCACATTTTGTTTACTCATCCATCAGTATGCAATTATTTCATTGTCAGTTTAACTTTTTCATTTGTTTCTGCCTGCTCCTCCTGCAGGTGCTGTCGTTCTTGTTTCACTGTGTCCCCAGTGTGAGCATCATACTCAGCATATAATAGGAGCTTGATATTTAGTGACAGCATCAATGAAGAACCAATCCCAGAGATTCCTTAAATTTAAGCCAGTGTAGTAGAGTTTACAAAGCGCTTTCACAACTACTTGATGAAGCAAATCCCATTTCCTCAATATTCAGAGAGGTTAAATGTTTTGACTAAGATCACACAGCTGATAATAGACCAAGCTAAAGACCCAAATCAGGTCTTTTGACGGCTAAGTCAAGAGCACGTGTTGTCTCCCTATAGTTATAACTGACTTTAACCTCACAGTCTTGATGGGTCTTACCTGCTCATGTAGACAGAAAACATTGGCAAGTCCACCAGGTTCTGAGCCATCATGTTGTCAAACACTGGAGTCACTCCTCCCACAGCCAAGGAGGGGTATCCCAGGCCCAGAATTCCATCAAACTCTGCATCCACAAAGGTCTGGCCTGGCTCTGTGACACTTTCTCCAAACTGCTGGCCAACCACAGTCAGTCCTTCCACCTGGCAGGAGAAAGCCCACAGGAAAATGGCACAGGGGATTGCTGGCAAAGAGTTTGATTCCTGGATTCTCCTCTGTCTTGAAGTTAATTCTTCTCCTTCCCAACTTTCCTTGACTAAATAAGCACAAAGATGCTTGCTATATTCTCAAGAAACAGAACATTCCAAAACCTCAGAAGCCCTCATGCACCTGCCAATCATTGCGCTCCTACTCAAGAAGAGCCAGTCTCCTGACTTCTAATAGCGTATATTGGTTTTGCCTATTTTTTGGATTTTATATAAATGGAATCATCCCATATGAACGCTTTGGTATCTGGCTTCTGTCACTCAACATTGTGCTTATTGCACACTGTTTTTTTGTAACTTGTTTCAGAAAATTTTGCCTCCCCTAAGATTTTGAAAACATTTTCCCATGTTTTCTTCTAAAAGCTTTATTGTTTACCTTTCACATTGAGATCTGGAGTCTATCTGAAATGTGGTAATGTGTAAGGTAGGAGTCAAGATTTATTTTTTTCTATCTGGATATTCATATGACCTGGCACTACTTAATAAATATACCACCATTTCCTCCACATACTGCAGTGTCATGTTCAACATAAATCAGATGACTGTGTGGATAGGTTTTGTATTTTCTGTTCTGTTCCATTTGTATATTTTTAAAATTCTGTGCCAACACCACACATCTACATTGCTGTAACTTTATAATAAATCTTAATATTTACCAGTGTTTTTCTTCAGCAAGGTTGTTTTGGTGTATTACACATCCATATAAATGTTAGAATCAGTTTGTTAATTTCTAAGAAAAAGTGCTCTTGTTTTAATTGGAATAAAATTGGTTCTATAGATCAATTGGAAAAAATCTGACTTTTAAATAAAACAGAGTCATTCAATCTATGAGCATGGTTTAGTTTTCAATACAGGTCTTCTTTTAATTTTATTCAGTAACATTTGTGATTTTTATGCAAGTCTTTTACTTTTATTTAGTAAAGTTTTCTATTATCAGAGTAGAGTTCTTGCACATTTTTTGGTTAAATTTGCTTCAAAGTAGCTATGGTTTTGATGGTGTTATAGTGTCACTAAAAATCTATTTGCCATTTGTTTTACTTGCTACAGGTTGAGCATCACAAATCTGAAAATCTGAAACTGAAGTGCTTCAAAATCCAAAACTTTTTGAGTGCCAACATGACGCTAAAAGAAAATGCTCACTGGAGTACTACAGATTATGGATTTTCAGATTTGGGATACTAAACTGGTAGGTGTAATGCAAATATTTCAAAATCTGAAAAAATTTGAAACCTAAAAGACTTCCGGTCCCAAATATTTGTGATAAGGATTCACAACCTGTATATATAAATCCAAATGATTTTTCTTTGAGACGGAGTCTCATTCTGTCACCCGGGCTGGAGTGCCATGGCATGATCTCGGTTCTACTGCAACCTCCGCCTCCTGGGTTCAAGCAATTCTTCTGCCTCAGCCTCCTGAGTAACTGGGACTACAGGTGTGCGCCACCACGCCTGGCTAATTTTTGTATTTTTAGTAAAGATGGGGTCTCTCCATGTTGGTCAGGCTGGTCTCAAACTCCTGACCTTATGATCCACCCGTCTCAGCCTCCCAAAGTGCTGGGATTACAGGCGTGAGCCACCATGCCTGGCCCTAAATGATTTTTTTATGTTGACCTCATATCCAGCAACTTTGCTAAGTTCACATATTAATCCCAATATCCTTTCTGTAGATATTTTTGGATTTTCTACTTATGGAGTCTTGTCATACATTAATAACGACAGTGTTATTTCTTCCTTCTCCATCTTAATGTTCTTCGTTTCTTTTTTTCTTGTTGCACTGGCTAGGATTTTCAGTACAATGTGGAATAGAAGTGGTGAGATTGAGTGTCCTTGTCTCATTCTTGATCATATGGAGAAGTCTCTCGACAATTCACCATTAAGTATAAAGTTTGCTGTGGGCTTCTTTGTAGATGAAGCCCTTCATCTTTATCAGATTAAGGGAGTTACTTTCTATTCCTAGTTTGCTAAGGGTTTTTCTTGAAGTCATGAATAGATGTTGAATGTTATTAATCTATTAATATAATCATATTGGTCATATGATTTCTCTCCTTTTATTCTGCTAAATGATAAATTCCTAGAAAGATGACCCTTGGTTAAGATGTATTATCTTTTTATACACCACAAGATTTTATTTGCTAGTATTTCATTTAGAACTTTTGCATCTACATTCATGAGAGAAAGATTGGTCTGTAATTTTACATTTTCTTTTATTATAATGTCCTTTTCAAGTTTCATTATTAAAGTTGTGCTGGTTTCATAAAATGAGTTATAAAGTGTTTTTACTTTATCAAATATCTGGAAGAGTTTGTGAATTTTTTTTTTTTTTTTTTAGTGTTTAGAAGAATTTATCAGTGAGGCTTTTCTTTGTGGAGTTTTCTTTGTGGAAGGATTTTTTAATAACAGAGTATATCTTTAACAGATTCACATTTTCTAACTTTTGTTTTTGCATCAGTTTTGGTATGCTGTATTTCTCAAGGCATTTGTTGAGTTTTTGAAGATTGTAAAATTTATCAATATAAAATTATTCTTGATAACTTTAGGGTTCTCTTTCTCATTTCTAATACTGTTAAATTGTATTTTCTTTCTTTTTTCTTAATTAGTCATGTCAGAGATTAACCAATTTTATTACTCTTGCAAAAAATTAATTCTTGGCTTTGTTAATTTCCTGTGTGATCTCTCTATTTCATTAATGTCCCATTCTACTCTTTATTATTTCCTTCCTTTTGATTTCTTTGGGTTTGATGTACTATTATTTGTTTATGGTTTGCTCATTTTCTTGTTATTTGTTTCTTGAAATAGGAACTTAGATAATTGATTATTAGCATTTCTATTAATAATACATGCATTTCAGGCTAAACGGTCCCTTTAAGGGCTACATCAGCTTCATCTACACATTTTGGCATGTCCTATCTTTATTATGTCAGTCAGGGTTTGATAAGAGAAGCAGAGCCATTAGGAGGTACTATAGATATAGATGAAATGATATGGATATAGATATTGATTATATGCAACTGTGGGTGCTAGTTAAACAGTGTACTTGTTTCTGGCCTGGTGCTGCAGCTGCTGTCTACAGTTTGCACAGCAGAAAGGGAAGATAGATGTCAAGTGGGAGAAAAAGGGCCAGTTGGAACCCATGAGTGTGAGGGTGGACTGGAACCCTCATTGTTCTCTCCCTGTCCCCAAGTCTCCATCCTCAATGATGGGGATGTTCTGCAGCAAAATCTGATGATTCTTCATAGAGGTAAGTGCACACCTGGCCCTGGAGCCAGAAAAACTGAGGGAAGGAGCAGTGCAGCTGACATTGCTGTGGGCTTGGCTGCTGCCCTACACCAGCCAGGTGAGCCAACAGATAGGTGACAAGCTATAGGCACAAATTCCCCTTTCTATTCCCATTTCAGTGCCTTCCCTGCATCTCAGAGGTTATTGTGATGATCAGTTTGGGATGTAGCCTTCTAAATAGTTATTTGTACTTTTATATATATATTATGTGTAATTAGATATATAATATATATGTATATGTCATAATATATATAATTTTATATATAATATATATACACATTACATATATGATATGTTATGTTAATATATTATGTAATAGATTAGTATATTATATTATATATTAATATACACAACATATTAATTAATAACACATAATATATTATTAATATAATACATTATATCACTTATAATATATTATATAAATAATATTATATAACATATTAATATAATGTATTGCATATCATATTAAGTATATAATATATAACATATATAAAATTATGCAATTATTATAGACTACATCTAATATATATTATATCTATATAAAATATACAGATGGATATATACAGTATACTATATATTATATATTCATACATAAGGATATTATATAATATATATGTAATGTGTGTATGCACACACACACAAATAGTTCCAATAGAAAATGCAGTGCATTATTTTATCTCTATGATATTTTTACATAGATGGTGTTCTTCTGCTTCTGGAGTTCTTTCAGCTGATAATATGTCCTACTCCACCCACTCTAAGGGATGTTGATGAAAGCTGTGCCCTCCTGGCCTCGGGAATACCCCCCCATGGACCAATGCTCGCCAGGAATAGGTCAACCTCTGTTTCTCCCAAGGCCCAGGCATATATTGCTGTCTATAAGCCTGAAAAAGTACCTGGTTCTCTGTCCCCACATTTGTCTGATTCCCATAGTTCTAGGACCCATAGAACTTCAGAGGGAGTCAGAGGGTCAGAGGTCAGAGGGAGTTTGAGGAACAGCTCATGAGCTCAGCACTGAGTTCAGTTTGGGCCTTGGCCTTTGGACAACTGGGTTTCTGCCTTGGCTCTGTGACTGGGCTCTCATTTCAGACCTTGCCCCCTTATTTTACTGAGTCCAAACCTCGCCCGCTGACATGGGCTTCTTTATCCTTTAAGATGGCGACCTGGTCTTATCTCCTCAATGCCCTAGAGACTGGAGATCCAGCTGTGCACCCTGCCAACAGGCTTTGTGCACTGGGCACTGCTTCCTGCCGGAGTCCCCCTGCGCTGTCCTCCCCCAGGGCGCAGCGTGCTGTGCAGACTGACCCACTGCTACCATCTCAGGTGGGGAGTGTTGGTCCCCCTTTCCCCTAGAAGTTAGTCCTAACCCCTGTTTCCACCCATTCCTGAGGCAGTTTTGAAACTCAAGACCTCTGCATAAGTCTCCCAAGTTTCTGGCCAAGAGAGAAAAGATGAAGGACTTGCACTCACAGAGACTTGGTCAGCTCCAATGATCCCGGACAAACTCCCGGTTCCATACTGAATGGAGAAAGATTGCCCAGGCTGGCTGTACGTGCTGGACTGGGAAGGCTGGAACCTGGTGTGCGTCTCTGGAAAAAAGTGCATTGCTCTTGCCTATGCCATCGGCTCACTGCCTGCATCCTCGCCCTGATGCCACCCAGCCCCAGTGTGGCAGGGTCTCTTCCCTTAGCTCTCAACACTGAGGGAGAGCCCCTAGAAGCCTGGCGATGCCCCTCCCTAGTGAGCAACTACATTTCCCTCTAGCTACAGATGTGACCTAATTGGAAACCAAATAGCTGTCCCTGAGCAAACCTGATTGTCCACAATGACCTCATGAGGCACACCAAGATAAGTGCCATTTATCAGGCGCCAGCCACAGTCCCTGCCACCCGTTGTGGGTCAGAGGTTGGTCTTCAGAAGAAACTCAGGGGTAAACAATTGCCCCAGGAAATTACTCCCAACTTTTCTCCCAACCTGTGGACATCTCTAGCCTTGGGCTTTCCAGGGAGATTCTGTCTCTGGGACTTGTCCTGTGTAAAACAAGTCATCTTTCTGTAGCTCTTCTTTTCCAATCCTTGCTGAAACCTCCGAGTTACCTCTGGCCAAATGGACCCACCCATGCCATTGTGCCCCACCAGCCGCACCTCTGTGCACCAGGAGATAAGGCTACCAAGCCTCCTTGAAGCAAGCAGACTGTCTACACTAGAACCCAACTAACCTACCTGCTCAGAAATAACCAATTAAATTAAACTTTCCCCTACATTCCTTTGGGTGTTCCAAAGGAAGTGAGTCATTATGTCAAAGATTTCTCTTTTCAATGGCTTTCTTTCTATTAATTCTGATCTGTATGGAAGTTGCTCTCTTGCACAGCAGCCACATTTTAGTTCTTCCTTGGCCTTGCTCTTTCTCTGCTGTAAGCAGTTCCAGGGCAGACTCAAAGACGGAGAGGGGAAGCTGGTGTGGCAGGGGTGGCCAGTTTCTGGAACCTAAGCCCCGCTTCCCCAGAGTATCAGGCTTGGCTTCCCAGGACTGGCCCCCAGACATTCTTTGCTGGTGCTCCTGGCCCCACTTACTGCAGGCTGGGCTGGTGCAGTACACAGAGGGGACCCAGAGATTGGAGGAGCCAGTGTCGAAGATGACAGTGAAGTTCTGTGGTGGGGAGCCAATGGAGATAGTGCCGAAGTATTCCATCTGCAAGGAAGAGTGAGAAGGAAAGCGGGTGTGGGTGGTGGCGAGGGACAAGGGTGCTCACCAGGAAGCCAAGGGAAAGCTCCCTGGGGCCAAAGCCTGGGGTACTACAGACTGGAGTTTACAGAGCCTAGAAAGTGGCAATGCTGGAAAATAAAAGGTAAAAGGAGCAGAGAAATGGTTATGAGTGAGGAAATCAAACCAAGCCTCTGGCTACTTCATTTGATTTTACTTGCATTAACCTGATTCTTATAAATACATTGTAGGAGAGGCAGTGGAGGAAGAACCACCTGTTTTACAGACTAGGGAACTAGGGCTGGGAGAGGTTAAGTAACTTGCCTAAGGGTACACAGCCAGTAAGCTGCCCAGCTGAGAGCAGAAGCAGGGGCCTTCAGTGTGGGATGATGCTTTCACTCCCAGCCCTTTCCTTCTGCAGAGAGCTCTGACATTTGGTTGGGGCCTGCTTAGCCAACTCCATGGCGACCCAGGGAATCAGTCCCCATGGATCATCCATCCAAGTGAAGAAATCCACAATGGCCTTCAGCGCTACTGATATGGCACTGGCCATGCCCTGATGCTGGGCCTTCCTCCAGCTCCCACCTCTCCCCAGCCCTGATCCCAGGAGGCCTCACATCCAAGTAGTTGATGAGGGGTTCGTTGGCACTCTGGTCCATTGAGCAGGACTCGGTGAACTGGATCATGTCCAAATTCTGGGATTTCCAGAGCTCAGAGAGCTGGCTCCGTGCCCGCAGCTTCTTCTTGAGGGACGGATGCCTCCTGAGGGGCACCCTAGAGACAAAGCCCAGTGTGAGGAGGAGATGTACTTCTACCTCCCTCTTTCCCCTGTTCCCATCCCATTTTCTCAGGGGCCGACTAGAGAAGACAGAGGGGGGAATCTGCAAGACAGCATGCAGGATCAGCGTCCTCTCTGCCATTCAGACTGCCCAGCCTCATCTCTGCCCTGGAGAGTCTTAGAATCTTAGAGTGGAAATGGCTCCCCTCCTGGAGCTGAGCTCTTTGAGATCTTCTAGGAAAATGGAAGATGTGGGGAGGTCTGCAGTTTTACACGAACATCATGAAGGGCTGATTTAAAGGGACAGAAAACTCTTGGAGGCAGTGATGGTCAGTCCCCTGGGGAAGTACTGGGGTGCTTTGAGCTACAAACCACAACTGCAGGTTTCTGCTCTTTTGCAACACAAGAAGCTCCCCGGGACTTGGGAAGACACCTCCATGGAGGTGGAGGCAGGAGGATGACTTGTTGAGGACTGGAGATGAAGGCCATTCACAGACGGCCACTGGGTAAGCCTCTTCCATGCATTGATGCAAACCCTCAGCTTCTCCTCCTCTTCATCTCCCTGTCAGCTTTCCTATCCCAGAGCAGCCCTGAGCTGCAGGGCAGGGGTCTACCCAGCTGAACACAGTGCGGGGATGTCTCCTCACCTGTGAAGTGATCCTTGGGCCTCTCCCAGGTCCAGGAGCACCAGCAGCAAAAGAAGGAGCGTTTTCATTGTGGGTCCGACGGTCTGACCAGCAGCTTCTCCCTTGCCCCCTCCTTTCTTCTCTCCCCGAGGGCAGTGGGAACGGACTTTCCCTAACTCTCAGACCTACCCAGCCCAGTCTGAGGGCTGAATGATAAGGCCCTGGAGTCATTAGCCATGCCCAGAGTAAATACAGCATGTGGAACAGGGCGTTCCCCCTCCACCCCTCCGTCCCTTTCCCACCTACAAGAGGAGTGTGAGTCTGGGAGTAGAACTTGGGGGTCCGTGCATTCTCTGTGAGCGAGAGGGTCCTCTGAGGCTTGGCTTCTCCCAGGGCCTTGGCACCTCTCCTGGCCCCAAGAAACCCTGTGTTAATGAATCCAGAGGGCAGCACATCCCTGGCTGCCTGGAAGCGCCCACTGAGCTGTTACCGCGAGAGCTCTAGCTGGAGACTCTGGAGGCGTGGGAGCTGACTTGTCATGGGTGGCAGGATTCTCACGCAAAGTATTCATCCGTCTGTTTTCTCAGTGATTGTTCTTCTCTCCTCAGTCTCTCAAATGCTCCAAAGGCAGTTTACCCTTCCCTGGCCCACTTTGAAGCACAAACCAGCACTCCTCAAAGGTCCTGAAATGGGAAAATGTGGCTGCGGATTCATGGAGCCCACTCTCCTGACTCCAAGGACTTGATGAATCTGGGGCTGGGGCTCAGGGGTGTATGGAGGAGAATGCAGGGGCAGCGAGGGAGGGTCAAGGGCGTCAGCGTCTGGAGCAAGTGCCCGCATGAGTCTACTAGAGTGGCCATGATAAAGTACTGAGGCCTGAAACAACAGAAATTTATTTTCTCACTATTCCGGAGGCTGGAAGTCCAAGATCAAGGTGCTGGCAGACTTGGTTGCTTCGGAGTCCTCTCTCCTTGGCTTGCGGATGGCTGCCTTCTCTCTGTGTCTTCACATGGGTCTTCCCTCAGCATGTGTTTGTGTCCACATTTCCTCTTATAAGGACACTAGTCATATTGGAGTAGGGCTCACCCTAATGACTGCATTTATCCTTAATACCTCTTTAAAGACCCTGTCTCCAAATACAGTCACATTCTGAGGTACTAGGGGTTAGGACATCAACATGGATTTTGGGGGACAGAGTTCAGCCCTTAACAGTGCTCAGGGACAATAGGATCTTCTATCTGTTAAGTGGGACTAAGCGCAGGGGTGGAGAGTGAGTGGGGCTCAGGCCTTAGTTACCGCAGTGTGTGAAACCCCCTCACCATCAGCCTATCTCTGTGGCCACCCGCCTCATAAACAGATGGTGGGGCTTCACAGCCTGGGGTGGGGATGAAGGGGTTACAGGAAGGAAGACGCTGACCCTGACTCAAGTTAATTGGACCCTCTTAGCCAGGGCAGCAGCGGCCACCACCATGTGCCAATGCTTCCAGAGGGCACTAGCTCAGCAGTAGGAAGTAGGTGGCCTGGGTTTAGCTTTAGCTCTGCTCTGACCAGCTAGTGGTCTGGAAAATCTCTTCAGTGCTATGGGATCTGCCTTTCATCTCTGAAGTTCAAAAGACAAGCAAACGTGGAGTATGGAGCTAAGTCAAACATGCCGTTGGGTCCAAAAATGTTAAAAAGACATCAAAAAGACTTAAGGAACAGCCTAGACCTTTGACCCCTGAACCCAAGGCAACAAAGCCTCTTTGACATTTCCCAGGAGCCCGTCTCGTTGACCTTTCACTGGGGAGAGTGGTCTAACCCTAGAAGGTCAGCTTCAGTCAGAAGTGGCTAGAAGTGCAGATCATTCATTTTGGCAGTAAGCTCTGCCACGGTTTGCCCATAACTGCTTACTCACCAGATACCTTAGTTTTGTCATCTGCCAAATACCCTACCTACATCAATGGGTTTTTAAGGAGGATTAAATAATAAAGTACAGATGTACTTGTTGTACTGCATTCTGCTTTACTGCGCTTTGCAGATACTGCTTTTTTTTTTTAATTGAAGGTTTGTGGCAAACCTGTGTCAAACAAGTCTATCAGCACCATTTTTCCAATAGCATGTGTTCATTTTGTGTCTGTGTCACATTTTGGTAATTCTTACAATATTTCAAACTTTTTCGTGATTATTTTATCTGTTATGGTGATCTGTACTCAGTGACCTTTGATGTTACTATTGTAATTGTTTTGGGGTACCACAGACAGCACCCATATAAGACAGAGAATTTAATAAGTATAATTGTGTGTTCTGATTGCTCCATTGCTCTACTAACTGGCCATTCCCCCATCTCTCTCTCTCTCTCTCCCTCTCTTTCTCTCCCTCTCAGGCCTTCCTATTGCTTGAGACACAACAATATTGAAATTAGGCCAATTAACAATTCCATGATGACCTCTAACTGTTTAAGTGAAAGGAAGAGTTGCATGTTCCTCACTTTAAATTCAAAGCTAGAAAATATTAAGCCTAGTGAGGAGGCCATGTTGAAAGCCAAGAAGGGACGAAAGCTAGGCCTGTTATACCAAACAGTTACCCAAGTCATGAATGCAAAGAAAAAGTTCTTAAGGGAAATTGAAGGTGATATTACAGTGAACACACAAATGATAAGAAAGCAAAATAGTTTTCTTACTGATATGGAGAAAGCGTTATTGGTCTGGATAGAAGATCAAGGCAGTGACAACATTTCCTTAAGTCAAAGCCAAATCCAGAGCAAGGCTCTAACACTCTTCAATTCTATGAAGGCAGAGAGAGGTGAGGAAGCTGCAGAAGAAAAGTTGGAAGCTAGCAGAGATTGGCTCATGAGGTTTAAAGAAAGAAGCCATCTCCATAGGTGAAGCCTATGGAGATTTCTGCAAGGTGAAGCAGAAAGTCCCAAAGCAGAAGCTGCAGCAAGTTATCCAGAAGATCTAGCCAAGATCATTGATGAAGGTGGCTACACTAAACAACAGATTTTTAACATAGACAAAATAGTCTTATACTGGAAGAAGATACCTCCTAGGACTTTCATACTAGAGAGAAGTCAATGCCTGGCTTCAAATCTTCAAAGAACAGCCTGAATATTTTGTTAGGGGATAACGCAGCTGGCGACATGAAGCTGAAGCCAATGCTCATTTGCCCATTCTGAAAATCCTAGGGCCCTAAAGAACTATGCTAAATAGAGTCTGCTTGGGCTCTATCAGTGGAACAACACAGCCCTGGATGACAGCACATTGGTTTACAGCATGGTTTACTGGATATTTTAAGCTTGCTTTTGAGACCTACTCTCAGAAAAAAAAAAAAAAAAAAAATTCCTTTCAAAATTTTACTACTCATTGACAACGCAACTCATTGCCAAAGAGCTCTGATGGAGATTCATAAGGAGATAAATGTTTTTATGCCTGCTAACCCAATATTCATTCTGCAGCCCATGGATCAAGGAGTAATTTTGACTTTCAAGTCTTATTATTTAAGAAATGCATTTTGTAAAGCTATAGCCACCATAGATTGTGATTCTGATGGATCTGGGCAAAGTAAATGGAAATCTTCTGGAAAGCATTCACCATTCTAGATGCCACTATGAATATTTATGATTCATGGGAGGCAGTCAAAATATAAAATTAAAAGGAGTTTGGAAGAAGTTGATTCCAATCCTCTTGGATAATTTTCAGGGGTTCAAAACTTCAGTGGAGAAAGTAACTGTAGATGTGGTGGGAACAGGAAGAGAACTAGAAGTGGAGCCTGAAGATGTGACTGAATTGCTGCAATCTCATGATCAAACTTGGATGGATGAGAAGTTGTTTCTTATGGGTGAGTAAAGGATGTGGTTTCTTGAGATGGAATCTACTCCTGGTGAAGATGCTGTGAACACTGTTGAAATGACAACAAAAGATTTTGAATATTGCATTAACTTGGTTGATAGCAGTAGTAGGGTTTGAGAAGATTACTCCAGTTTTGAAATAAGTTCTACTGTGAGTAAAATGCTATCAAACAGCATCATATGCTACAGAGAAATCTCCATAAAAGGAAGAGTCAATCCATGTGGCAAACTTCATTGTTTTCTTAGTTTAAGAACTGGGCACAGTAGCTCATGCCTGTAATCCCAGCATTTTGGGAGGCTGAGGCGGGCAGATCACCTGAGGTCAGGAGTTTGAGACCAGCCTGACCAACATGGAGAAACTCCATCTCTACTAAAAATACACAAATTAGGTGGGCATGGTGGCATACGCCTATAATCCCAGCTACTCGGGAGGCTGAGGCAAGAGAATTGATTGAACCTGGGAGGTGGAGGTTGCGGTGCACTGAGATCATGCCACTGCACTCTAGCCTGGGCAACAAGAGTGAAACTCCATCTCAAAAAAAATAAATACATAAATAAATAAAAGAAAAAGAAAGAAATTGTCATGACCACCCCAAACCTGGAGCAACTATCACCTTGATCAGTCAGCAGCCATTAATGTTAAGGCAAGACCTCCACCAGCAAAAAGGTCATGACTCCCCGAAGGCTCAAATGATTGTTAACATTTTTAGCAATAAAGCATGTTTTCTTTAAGATGTTTTTAGACACAATGCTATTGCACACTTAACAGACTACAGTACAGCATACACATAACTTTTATGTGCATTTGGAAACCAAAAAACTTGTGTGACTGACTTTATTGCAATCTTCACTTTATTGCAGTAGTCTGGAACCAAACCCACAGTAGCTCCAAATGATACCTGCATATGGAAGTTCTTGAAAAACTGTAACATGTCATGTGAACGAAAGATTGTCACTAAAAAACTTCAGCGTTTCAGAAGTGCTGGAAAGCTTCTTACAAACTCTCAAGGCAAACCCACTTGTATAGCAGAATGAGAAAACTGAGGCAGAGAGGCAAAGTGATCAGCCCAAGAGCACATGGTTCATTTAGTGGCTGATCTAGGATTAGGACTCAGCCCTTCTAACTTCTAGGCGGGCAATCTTTCTGCTACAGAATTATAGCATCATTATCACTGAACTGTTGAAAGGAGCATAACCATAACCCCTTCCTCCTTTTCCATCTTTCAGACCTCTCCCCACATCCCCCTTGCCCCTGTTTACTAAATGTAGAGGGTTTGCCTGGCCCAGGCTTGAGAAAAAGCTGACTGGTCCTTGCAGCTGTGGGCCACCTGATACTGAGTGGAGCAGATAGAGCCTGGACTGCCTGCAAGGAGCCCCTGGGTCTAGCTG